AGGAAGGAAGGAAGGAAGGAAGGAAGGAAGGAAGGAAGGAAGGAGGGAAGGAAGGAAGGAAGGGGAAGAAAGTCTGACATTTTCTCCTTCCCCTCTGTCTACAGATTTTAAAAAAGAAGATCCTGGAGTGACTACAAATGCAGGCTTGTTCTAGCAGTCCAGGTTGAAGATTCTACTAGCATGTCTGCCTACAGTAGGCATCGTGGCTATGAGGAGGATGCAGATTACCCCAACTATCTGGGGTGTCAGAACCCAATGCAAGGATATTCGAAAACCCAGGGCTACCCCATCACCGGACGCAACCCCTACTCTGCAGGTTCCAGGATGAACCCCGACTACCCAGGGTCTCTCGCAGAGCCAGATTATCCTGAATCTACTGCTTATCTGAGCAACAGCACGAATCCCTATGCTGAAGGTTCCAGAACAGGTTCAGATAATTACACATCTCGGCAAGAGCCAGATTATTTTGGCTTTTCAAGGAATCCATCATCCAGAGAGCCTGACTCCCCTAGATGGCAACCGAATCTTGATATTGCCAGCTCCAGGACACATCCACGCTATTTGGGGTCCTTGGGAGAACCCGACTACCCTGGAGCTCAGGATCGCTCCCGCCAGCCTTCCTCCAGAGATGATTCCAGCCACCGAGGCCCCAGAAGGATGCTAGAACACCCTAGTTCCAGAGTCAGTCCCTACACAGACTCCCTGGCCGAGCCTGACTATCCAGGTGCTCACCATCAGCCTAACACTCTACTCGTATTTGAGAAACCAGTCTACCCTAGTTCTGAGGATGATGTAGACCCCGCAAATTTCTGGGGGGAACCTGATTACCCAGGTGCTGAGGATGGTCACCGTTATGGCTCTTCTGAGACCCCAGGAACAGCCAGAGGGTAAGTTCTGTCACGGGTGGGATCCGAGTATGGGATCAAGTCACTGAGGCTTGGTCAGTGGGGTTTGGATGAAGGGCAGGTTCTATGACCGGAAGTTGTGGGCCACAACTCTCAGCCTTAAGCTCCAAGCCCTTACTGGAAATTCACATCTCTTCTCAGACACCTACCTCTGCCTTGCCCAAGCCCTGAAAGATAACTGTCTTTCCATTGTTTTATCTCTCTACATTACCAGTGAGGCTGACGTCATGATTCAGTGGTCATAAATCCAGATGTTGTAACCAGAATCACATCAACAGTAATGGATTTTCATTGGGATGACATTAAAGATCTATTGAATTTAGTTGCTTAGAAAAAAAGTTTGGTGGTCTTAGAGATTGAAGCCAAGACTTCATGTAAACCAGATAAATGCTGTACCATTTAGCCATGCCCAAACTTTAGTTGTGTGTATATGTGTATGTGTGCACACATGCACACATGTATGTGAAGGCAGAGCCTGAGAGCTGTCCCTGAGTTTTATTTGCGCAAGGCTTGTGTTCTACCACTTGGGCCATAACTCTATTTCTGGCTTTTTTTGGGTTGTTTTTGTTTTTTGTTTTGCCAGTCCTGGGGTTTGAACTCAGGACCTAGGCACTGTCCCTGAGCTTCTTTTGCTCAAGGCTAGCACTCTACCACTTGAGCAACAGCACCACTTCCAGCTTTTTCTGTTTATGTGGTACTGAGGAATTGAACCCAGGGCTTCATGCATGCTAAGCAACCACTCTACCACTAGGCCACATTCCGGTCCCTGGCTTTTTTTTTTTTTAATTGAACATAAGAGTCACTTGAATTTCCCTCCTGGACTGGCTTTGAACCATGCTCCTCAGATCTCAGCCTCCTGAGTAGCTAGGATTACAGGCATGAGCCACCAGCACTAACAAAGTTTACCAAGTACAGTTATTGACAGCATTCATTAAGTGACTTAGTTGTACCAAATCTGTTTTTTTTTTCAGTATATTCACAAGACATTTCTTTAGCCAATATTTTTTGTTGAATCTACAAAAAATTTATCACATATTTTTTTCACTAGTCTGAGTCTTGGCACTTGATATTTATATCAGTGATATTAATGAAATTTATTTTATTTTATTTTTAACTCTGTCATGCCACTACAGGTCAAGAATTTGAGGACAGCCGGGCATTTGTGGCTCCTGCCTGTAATCCTAACTACTCAGGAGGCTGAGATCTGAGGATTGCAGTTCAAAGCCAGCCCAAGCAGGAAAGTACATGAGACTCTTATCTCCAATGAACCACCAGAAAACTGAAAATGGTGCTATGGCTCAAATGGTAGAGTGCTGGCCTTGAGCTGAAGAGCTCAGGGACAGTGCTCAGGCCCAGAGTTCAAGCCCTATTACCAGAAAAGAAAAAAAATAAAAGAGTCTGAGAACAGCCCAAGTTACATAGTAAGACTCATCTCCAAACAAAACAAAACAAAATAGTGACTTGCATTCCTTTCCAGGAAGAAGGTTGTAGAACTTGGGTGTGCAATAATCCAAATGTCTTTAGGATGCACTAAAGTGAGAATTAAGTAGAACTAACAGGAACAGGTCAAAATCCTTTCTTAGTCTAACCTCTTAATGCCTGACTCACCATCCTAAGACATACCTTTGGTCCTGTCCCTCTGATTTGCATCTTCCATAGGTGTTCATAACAGAAAGAGAAAGGTCACATGGCTGCATTTACAAAACACAACTGAGAATGAATGGTGCTGACATCAGATGCCAGCCCCAAACCAGCCTGACCCGTCTTTCTCTCCCGTCCCCTCCCTCCCTCCCTCACCCTGTATTCCAGGTCAATGTTTTTTGACCTTGGATGGGTCTTTGAATTGTTTTACTACCTATAGATTATATATATATATATATATATAACCATATAAATATATGTGTGAATATAACTATATATACATATATATGTGGGTGTGTGGATAGATGGAAGAATAGATGGTTGAATGGTTAAATGGGTGAATGGATGACTGAATGGGTAAATGGATATATAGATAGATAGATGGGTGAATGAATGGATGGATGGGTGGATGGATGGATAGCTAAATGGATGGGTGTATAGATGGATGCATGGTTGACAGTTTGGGTAGACAGATATGTTGATGGGTAAATGAATGAATTGATGGATGGATGGGGTGGAGTGGATGGATGATTGCCCTCTCCATTTATGGATGGATGATCATCATTTGGGGATTTCAAGATGCCCATCAGAATCCTCCTCAGCCCACCCTCATTCCATTGCAGGAAGGATGGCTCCTTGGGCTTCCTTAGGAGAGAGGATGAAGATTACTCTGAAAGCATTGAAATGGCCTCCATGCAGCTGTCACCTCCACATGGCCGCTATCTGCCAGGCGCTCCTGCCATGGGCCACGGTAAGCACATCACATGCTGGCAGGGGGTTCTGGCAGCAGAACTGGCATCTCCCTCTCTCCTGAGATGCCCTTCTTAGACACAAGACTGGAGGCAAACCAGCGACTTGGGGAGCCAAGTGTCAGCCATGCTCAAAGAAGTCCAGGTCAAGTGTGTGGAAATGGGCCTGTGCACAAACCCTGGGTCTGCCCGAGGAACACACCACCTATCACTAGCCTGGAAAAACCCCCAAATGTAAAATCCTATTCTTGTGGCAGGGCTGTAGCTAGAATCCAGACAGAGCTTCCTGCATGGTGGGCAAGCAGGTGCTTTTCCACTGAGCCCCGCCCCTGCCAACACATTCACAATTTTTTTTTCCTAGTCCTGGAGCTTGAACTCAAGGCCTGGGAACTATCCCTGAGCTTCTTTTGCTCATGGCTAGCGCTCTACCACTTGAGCCACAGCGCCACCTCCAGCCTTTTCTGTGTATATGGTACTGAGGAATCGAACCCAGAGCTTTATGCATGCTAGGCAAGCACTCTAGCACTGAGCCACCTTCCTAGCCCCAACATTCACCACTTGAATATGCTCATTGCGTTCCCTAAATCATGTGGTCAAAGCATTGTGAGCAAAACCAGTTGTAAGTTGGAAGCCATCTGCACAAATGGAAAACAACCTGCACATCTGCATGGAAAATATTTGAGTGCACAAATATTTGTGGGTCATGCCAGGGATATGGAAGACATTGAGGTGACCCATTCCCAATTGAGGTGGTGGCTGGGCTGGGGTAGAGGGACTCTTGAAAGGCCAGAAAATGATCTTAACTCTTCTTATTCATAAAGCACAGGTAGATACACATAGAGCACATAGATAAGTGTCCAGCATCTCTGTGGTATGAAAAGCTGATGGTAGTTGGGTGCTGGTGACTCACACCTATCATCCTAGCTACCCAGGAAGCTGAGATCTTTTTCTACCCAGCCTGGGCAGAAAAGTCCCTGTGAGACTCTTTTTATTTTTGTTTTATTTTTGTCAGTCATTGGGTTTGAACCTAGGGCCTGACTGCTGTACGTGAGATCTTTGACTCAAGGCTAGTGCTCTACCACTTGATCCACAGTTCCACTGCCAGTTTTTTTGAGTCATTAATCAGAGATAAAAGTCTCATGGGAACTTTTCTGCTCAGCCTGGCTTTTGAATTGTAATCCTCAGATCTTAGTTCCTGAGTAGCTAGGATTACAGACCTGAGCCACCAGCACCTGGCTCCTCATGAGATTGTTTATCTCCAGTTAACTACTCAAAAACTAGGAGTGGAGCCATGGCTCAATAGCGTAGAGTGCTTAAGGACCTGTGCTCAAGCTCCATGACAGAAAAGAAAAAAATTAAAACAAAACAGTTTAAAAAAAAAGAACTAGGATAAGAATATGCATGTAAGGGCTGGGAATATAGCTTAGTGGTAGAGTGTTTGCTTAGCAGCATGAAGCCCTGGGTTCCAT